CCATCTCAGGGAACACGATACAACCAAGTCTGAAGAGTTTTTACGCCGTCATCACTCAGGACTTTCATATGAGCTTGAATGTAGGCTTCAAGTGCTTGGTAAATATAGGCCGTGCTCTAAAAAATAATAGGAAGCTCCCACTCCTCTTGCGTGTTCTGCCCAAGTAAAATGGCTAAAGCGAACCCGTGAGGCATGAAACTAGGTTTCAGTTATCGCATTTAAGATCGATCCCATAGAAAAAAGTCTTTCCGATTGCAGTAGTGAACGTTTGTTGCCACCCACTACCTGATGCCATTTTGAAATCTTCCACTTTTAAATTTAAAAGTGGTTTGACGTTTACCCGCAGTCGATACTACCACTTTGGAAGAAATAGAACTGTCAGTAGAAGCACCATTACCTACCGACCCATACAGAGTGCTTCTGTCACTGTCAAATAGTGAGCTGAAGCTTTCCAACCGTCATTATCATATAAGTGTGCTTTATGAACAGACCTATGGTTATCTAGGCTGGTGATACGAAAATCAGCCGGAACTCAGGGGTGACGGGTAAGCACGTGCGCTTCAGACAGACGTAAACAGCTTGTTTGCCTGGTCAGAAAAATGGTGGGTGCCTATCAATGCAGGTAAATTCATGAGCATGCAAATGGGGTACTCAGATAGCACCACCCCCGATATTGGTGGGACACCCAGTATGGTCTAGGAGTCAAAATAAGTTATCATTTGAAGACCATGTTATCATTATTATTATTAGTCCCTTGGGTTCCTGGTGGAACATGGGGCTTTAGTAGCACGTCTCCAGTGAACTCTGTTCTCTGAGATCTTTTGAACCTGGTCCCACGACAGCCCACAACCTCTCATTTCCTCCTCGCACGACCTCCTCCATGTCACCCTCGGCACCGACGTCCAACTCGTCGCTTCCCTTGGGGATTCCACTCGAGCAACTGGCCTGACGCGTGATGTCCTCAGTCGGCCTTCTCAGTGCATGCCCAATCCATCTGCACTTCCTCCTGCATATCTGTCGACTGATAGGTTCTTAGTTGGTTCGTTCCCAGAGTTCCTTGTTGCTTATTCTTTCTGGCCGTCTCATCTGATCTTCAGTAGCGAGCGTAAGCAGTTGTTGATGAATGTCTGTAGTTTGTTGGAAATCCCTTTCGTTACGCGCCAAGTCTCCGAGCCATATAGAAGCACTGACTTGACGTTGGTGTTGAAAATCCGTATCTTGTTCCGCATGCTGAGTGCAGAAGATCTCCACACTGGTTTCAGGCTAATGAACGCCTGTCTTGCTTTTCCGATTCTGACTTTGACATCCTCGTCTGTGCCGTCTGTAGTTGAAACGATGCTGCCTAGATAGGTGAAGGAGGTTACTTCCTTTAGGTTTCTCCCGTTGATGGTGACTGGAGTTTGTTGTTGTTGTTGGAGTTGTTGGTGCGGTATCTTCGTCACCTCTGTCTTCTCTATATTCACTTGAAGTCCCGTCTTCGCCGCCTCTTCTATCAACTTGTTAGTTTTTGCCTGCAGATCTTCAAGTTTGTGTGACATCAGGCACAAGTCGTCGGCGAAATCCAAGTCTTCTAGGTTCTTTTCCGCCGTCCAGCGTATCCCCCTCTTCTCACTCCTCACTGTTTGCTGCATGATCCAGTCCACTACAATCAGGAATATCATGGGTGATAGTAGACAACCCTATTTTATCTTACTCCTGTCCTCACTTCAAAAGCATCACTGAGCTTCCCATTGTGAATTACTTGGCATGTGGCATCTTCATATAGTTGTTGAATGAGGCGGATAAAGGTTTGCGGTACTCCGTAGTAATGAAGCAGTTTCCAAATTACTTCCCAGTCGACGCTGTCAAAGGCCTTCTCGAAGTCGATAAAGCTGAGGTAGACAGCTGATTGCCATTCTATGCCCTGTTCTATGATGATGCGTGGTGAAGCGTTGCAATTTGGCCGGCACATGATTTGTACTTCCTGAAGCCTGCCTGTTCCGGCCGCAGTTTTGAATCCAGTGCATCTTTAAGCCTCTCCAGGATGATGCGGCTTAATATTTTACTTGGGGTGGACAGGAGAGTGATTCTGTACCAGTTCTTGTAAACACTGAGGTCTCCCTTCTTCGGCAGTTTGACAAGGTAACCCTTCTTCCAATCGTCAGGTACCTTCTCTTCCTTCCACACCTTCTGCAATAGTCGTGTGAGCATGTCTGCCGTTGTCTCTGCGTCTGTCCTCAGTGCTTCTGGCGGGATCCCGTCTCGTCCTGCTGCTTTTCCGCATTTCAGTAGCTTTATGGCGTTCAGGACTTCCATTTTTGTTATTGGATTTATGTCCACTTGTAGTTCGGCGGCTGTAGGTGGTATTTCTGGACGAAGTGCAGGTGGTGGTCGATTCAAGAGCTCCTTGAAGTGGTCGGCCCATTGTTTCCCCTGTTTCTCTTCTTTCGTAATTAAATTTCCTTCTTCATCTTTTATTGGTTTCATCCGTGTTGATCTCCCACATCCCAGACAGTAAACTGGTTATTTGATACAGTGTTGTCAGGTCTCTCTTACCTGCAGCCTGTTCTGCTTCACTTGCTAGTGTTTCGTAGAAGTGTTTTTTTTTCTTTGCAAACACTCTTCTTTACTTCTTTGTCCAGTGATTTATACATTGTGCTCAGTCCTTCCTGTCGTTGAGCATCCTTGCACTGGTCTATCTTCTGCCTCACCATCACCATCCTCCACTCCCTCCTCTATCAGCTTCCATGTCTCCGTCGAGATCCATTCCTTGTCTTCCACCTTCTTTCTTCCTAATACTGTTGTGCAGGTTTCTCTCCACATAGCTTTCAAAGACTTCCAGTGTTCTTCCACACAGGTTTCTTCAGGGATGTTCCTCGATATCCCCCATTTTGTCTTGATGGCTACCTTGAAGATCTCCTTTGTAGTTTCATCCTTCAGTTTCCGAGTGTTGTACTTGAATTGAGGTCTATCACCAGCTTCCTTGAAGGCTTTCAACTTGATTTGGAAGGTTCCTTGCACTAGATAGTGAGTGGTGTGAACCTACATCTGCTCCTCTTCTTGACCTCGTGTCAAGTAGACTGCGTCTCCATTTTCTGGAGATTGAGATAAAGTCGATTTGATTTTTAGTGTGTCCATCTGGTGAAATCAACTCCATGTCGCTTTGTGGACATCCTTGTGCTTGAACACACTGCTTCCAATCACCAAAACGTTGAATGCGCAGAATTCTGCAAACAATTCTCCATTCTCATTCATTTCACCTAGCGCCTCTCGACCCATGGTTAGTTCTCTTCCTGTGTTGTCCCCTCCCAGTTTGGCAATCATGTCGCCCATTAGAATTTTGATGTTGCCAACTGAGGTCTTAACCAGTGTTGATTGCAGTTGTCTGTAGAATTCCTCCTTTTTTTCTTGATCTGCATTATTTGTAGGTGCATAGCATTGTATGATTGTGACCTTTCCTCCTTTTGAGTTGAATCTTGCTGTCATGATCCTACAGAAGGAGATTGGTTCCCACTGTATGAGAGCCTTCGATGCTCTTGAGGACATCATGATAGCCACTCCAAAACTGAGTGTGTTCGTGGTTGTCGTCTGGGTGACCGGAGTATATTATTGATTCTCCTGTTGACAGTTTGGAGAGTCCACTTCCATTCCATCTGTTTTCGCAAATCCCAAGCACTTCGATGTGATACCTTCTCATCTCGTTTGCAATCTGGGCTGCCTTACTAGGTTCAAACATCGTACGGACATTCCATGTCCCCACGTTTACTTTCGCTTTCATCGAGAGGGAGAAGACACATCGGCCAATTGGCTTCTCGAAGGCTTTCACCAACTGGCGTCATTTCGTCCCTCCGATTCCAACGAGGAATAATTTTGTTTTTATTTTTTATATTTCGTTTGTGCTTTGAAGTTTGTTTAGCGGTTGGATTTGTTTTCCGGGGTAGGGTCGCTAGCCCTATGCCCAACCTTCCCTCCTTACAGGGGCTTAGGACCGGCTAGTAACTAGTGAACTAGTTAACCAGGAGAGGTTTTGAAGACCATGGAGTACTGTTAATTGGTCGCAGTTCGGTGGTTTTTAGATGCAGACGTTTACAAAACAAGTGGTGATATTTTCAGCATGTTATACGCATCCTTAGTTAGGTATGAATTAGACAAACGAATGCGGGCGCTCAGTCCTCGTCTAAAGGGTGACATGAACCTGCTGAAACAAGTTCAGAGGACAGCCGATGAGTTGATCCCTATGAGCATTGACCTGATCTACGTAGATCGACTTAGGGAGCTGAACATCTTCTTTTTGCTCTTATCAGTCACAAGGGGACCTAATCAAGCTGGTCTGTCCTCCGTTTTCCTTACCATTAGGCTGAGACGCCTCAGAGGAGAGAGTAGGAGAAAAAAAGCGAATAACGAATGGAGTCTCAGTAGAATACTAGCTCTGGCACCGATTAATGAACTCCTGGGGCCGACTACCAGATGAAATGGTATCTGCGCCAACAACCGGCTTGTGCGAAAGAGGGCTGGAAAGGGGTTAATGTAGAACCACAGCCTTCTATATGAAAACAATAACTCGTGGGCTTCACAACTATCGTAAGAAAGCTGACTGATAATAAAATACCTTTCGATCTCTTCAGCCACTGTGACCATTTAATGCAGCGTAATTTTTCTTATGATACACGCGCGTAACCCAAAAGACAATTCCTCTTTTTTTTTGCAGCTTGAGGTCCGGAATCTAGTCTCACAGCAGGTGAGTGAGTTGCATAGGAATACACCGAAAACGTGGAACTGTTCAGGAAGACTTCGAAGCGAGCACGAAGAAACCAATTAGTTTACACTATTCACTAACTAATCGATAAGTACTGGAATCGAACAAGTTTCCTGAACCATTTGCATCGCTACCCGCATTTTTGAGGTTGGACGTCGGACATTAGGATTTTGAGCGTCTTACGATTGGTCCGCTACTTTCCTAACTACTTTCTGTGTTGGATACAAACTTTGCGTTGGATTCGTGACAAACTGCGAAGTAAAAAATGCTAGCTTTCTTTCAACGTATTCTTGACTGGATTCGAAGCTTATTTTGGAAGGAGGAAATGGAGCTCACGCTAGTTGGTTTACAGTATTCAGGGAAAACCACTTTTGTGAATGTAATTGCTGTAAGTGTATTAATTGCTTGCTACCTTATTGCAGTCCGGTCAATTTGTCGAAGACATGATACCAACAGTGGGTTTCAACCTCCGAAAAGTTACTAAAGGAAATGTCACGATAAAGGTAAAAGTGTCTACAGATATTAAAACCATGGTTTCAATACATTTTCAGATGTGGGATATTGGTGGACAACCACGCTTTCGAAGTATGTGGGAACGATACTGTAGAGGAGTCAACGCTATTATGTAGTGTTTTGATTTGTTTAACATATCTCTTAAAGATACATGGTAGATGCTGCAGATCATGATAAACTGGAGGCTTCGCGCAATGAACTTCATAGTCTGCTCGACAAACCTCAGTTACTTGGTATCCCCGTTCTAGTATTAGGAAACAAAAGGGACCTGCCCAATGCTCTTGCTGAACATGAGCTGATTACTGCACTTAATTTAGGAGCCATAACTGATCGTGAAATATGTTGTTACTCTATTTCGTGCAAAGAGCAAGAAAATATAGGTAAGTTTTGTCACATACGATCGTTCTCTAAATTATTGAATAATGTGGTTGAAAAAAATGTTTATGGATGCTTATCCTCCCATTATTTCGTAGTTGAAAGTCGTGTAACTACCATAAATAACCTAATGAAATAAATTTGAGTTTGGTGAGATTGAAGTGTTGAGTCACTTTTTGAATTTAGCTCGGCAAAGTTCTCAAAAAAGGTGTTAAGTGTATAGGGGTGTCCTGATAAAGTTATCGTCCTTTATTACACCGTAGTTCCATATTGCAAACAGATGAATTAACACAAAACCTGGTACGAAAGTGTTTGGTTTCTACCTTTGACTGCTACTTAAAACCTAGTAATCTGATGTACATTCACGTATTGAGCTACTAACCTTACCGTTGTGTAAACGCCTACAGTAGTCTCGTGGCAACTAGTATCTGAATGTCTGGCACACTAGTCTGAACCACGCACAAAAGTATGATTCATTCGTCCTCAGATTTGCACCTCACACCAGAAGCATTTAAACATATCTGACTATACTTATTTCAGTTTTATCTAAATAAGATCAATGCCGTTTCTAAAACATACTTTCGTTCTTATTATTACTGTGTATTTTAAAGAGTTCTCATCTAGTTCGATTACTGTGTTTGCTGGTTATTTGAGACAGTTTCTGTCCCTCGTTCAATTCAGTTATCTTAAACATACTTCGTATACTTTTGATTTATGGAGTTATGGTCTGCCCATAGATTTCTTGTTTAGACTGAAGTATGTTTATGTTAGGCATACACCGACAGATTGCATTTCCGTGACTATCTTATTCATAGCGTCTAATCAGTCGTAACAAACTGACCGATTAGATAAACTGCAAAGCTCATCTAGTACTTTTCAACCCTTATCTGAAAAACTAAAGGGACAGTCAGCTACCCAACGGGGATCAAGTAGTTGTACACTGTTTCGTTTTATACTATTGTATGTAGTCAACGTCAAAAATTTCTATGTTGCTACGGCGGCTGCAGTGCGTAGGCGGATTTTATTGTGCTAGATTAGCTACACACTTGACTGGTGGCGGAATTAGCTACTTATGATCAAGGCTGCAGTACAGTTGACTCATTGTTATCAAGGGAAGACTTCGCAGAGCAAACTGAATAAGATCAAGAAACCGAAATCCAAGCCCACTAACAACAATATACGGACAATAGCAAATTAGAACAGTCACTTATATGCAAAGTATGACGAAGGTAAATCGTTATAATCTGACCTTCAGACGCCAAGTAATGTGCAAATTAGCAGCCAATTGGTGAATCCATTCCAATGAAATAAATACTTCCCGATGTCTACACTTTTGGGTTAGAAGTATGGATCACTAAGCAAGATTGTAAAATTGTGTACGGCACATGTATGATGAAATCAATATGTAACCTAACAGAAAGCAGCTACCTTGAAGTGGTGATCAGCCTTGCATATTACAACCACCCAAAGAACCGTACTGACTGGAACGCCTGTTTCTTAAGGTCCGACCGTGCTGAAAAGATCTTTCGGATAGTGGTAAAATAAAGAGCAGTTGCCGTTACGGTGTAGGTAGCTATGTATTAATGGCGGTCTTAAGGTGAAGTTGTACTGCTAGCTGGACGGGAGTGTGGCAGCAATAATTTGTTCCCCGTGGATGACTAGCAGTATCATGCTGATACTGCCTTCCCTATGGGAAGGGCGAAGGCGGTTTAGAAGAGGTTTGCCCCAAAAATAGTACACTCCTCCCTTCTTTGTAGTACTGAGGCGCGGGCCGTATGGCGTTTCCTATCCGGCGTAAGAACAACCGAATCTCAAAGCAAAAGCCGTCAAAAGGTTGTGTATGACGGTCCTCAAACAAGTGTCGCATGGGCTCTGCGGTTATGCAAAGCTAATCTCTCCCCCCTCTCAGATAGCTTGCAGGGACAACTTCCACGGTTGTGGGCAGCTGGGAGGTCCCGGTTGCCCGCGCGCTCCCAGTGGTACCCAATCAAACATAACCTGACCTCCTTGCTTATGTTTCCTCCTTTGCTTTCACTTCATGGTCCTAATATTAAGCCTGTTGCAACTCCCTTAACCTCCCACTCTGCGACCATTACTAACGATCTAAGCTATCAAAATGTCATTCCTAGTCTCCATAATCTCCACTATCAATTTCACATTGGAGCTTTCAACATCCGAACCCTATGCCTAATCGGACAAAAGGCATCGCTTGACAAAACTCTGGATCCTCGGACCGTGGATGTATGCTGTTTCCGAGACTCGAGTGCCATTAATAATTTGACTTTACCTGGCCAATGTGGTGAATCTTTAGAGCTTACTTTATGAATGTTCAGAGATTTAATGGCTAGCTTCCGTAGACCTGCTAGTGTAGGCGTAGCATTAAGTTCCCGAGCGGGGAGCACACATCTCAACTGAATACCAGTCAACAGCCATCTGTGTTCTGTTCGACTGAATGCATCCGTAAGAACTAGGAAGGATCGTGAGACTGGTCGATGTCTTTTCGTAACTTCCACCTACGTGCCCACCGACTGCAGTTTGGAAGATGCAAAGGAAGGGTTTTTTGAGAAGCTGTTAATTTTGCTACGAAAAGCAAAACGTTCAGATATAGTCCTAGTGGCAGGTGACTTTAACACTCAAATAGGGAAGCTGAAAAAATTGGAAAGGTAGGCATGTTGGTGGTATTTACGGACTCGCATACCAACGGACTGACAACGGTGATCGTCTGTTGCAATTTCACTCAGTCAATCACTTGTTTCTGGCCAGCACCGAATTCAAGAATTAGGGGAGAAATTATCTCACTTGGTGTACGTCAATATCAAAATGAAGGATGAATACATGGAGACCAATTCGTATAGGGCATCATTGAAGGACTGCTGCTCTTTCTGGAGCACCTACCTAGAATGGGATTGTGCGATAGTACGAATATGTTTGTGTCTGCGCCTTACTAGTTACAGTAAACAAGCTGAGTATTTGTTTGGAAATGGCAGTGACTCTCTTCCTGATGCAGTCTAGTGTGATATCTAGTCCATTGTAGAAACGGCGGTTATGACGGTTATTAACCTACACCCGGAGAAAAGCCAAAAGCCAGTGGATTTTTGCAACTTCATCCAATCTGATTGGTGCGAGGACTCATTTCGATAGATTCTGATCATAGTGAGGAGCGAAGGTAGCTTAGACGTCAATTGACCTAGAGTTTTCTTAATGACTAAGAGCAGTGATGTGTGACGAGAGCGAAAGAGATGGAGAAGAAAGGCATCAGCATTAGGTATTACTTGGCAGTTATTTTTGCTTATTGAAGGTACTGGCGAGAAGAAAACGACAGTTAGTGAAACCCCTACCGAAAAGGCTGGGACTCTGATAACATCTGAGGACAGATGGCTGGGACGTTGTCGGAAAGCTTTGAAGGTCAGTTCCACTGGCCCACAACGACGCTTCATTTGCGCAGCATGCTACCCGAACCTGAATTGTACATAGATGTCGGTCGTCCGACCGTCTTCGAAGTTAAGCAGTCTATTTCAAACCTGAAACGATGCAAAGCAGCAGTTCCAAATGATTTGCAACCAGGAGATTTAAGGATGCAGGTAGGAAATTACTGAGTAGGTTAACGGGTGTACTAAATAGCGTATGAGAATCAGAGGTAATCCTACCAGAGTGGTCCTAATGGTTGATCGTTCTAGTGTATAAGTAGGAAGGGGAATCTTGCAACAACCATTGGTGGGTTAGTTTACCTAACATCGTGTCCGATATCCTATGGTCCATAGTTATCCGATGCCTATCTGGAGCTGAGAAACAGCAAGCTCTAGAAAATTAGTCAGTTTTTAGACCAGGGTGAAGGTGCATTGATCAAATCTTCACTCTACCTCAGGTTATGGAACTCAGAGGTACTTACAGATGGTCGGCACTTTCGACATTTATTGATCTGAAGGCAGCATTTGATTCTGTTGAATGTGAGATGTTTTGGCTACATCTGACTTCAAAAGGAGTACCAGACGGGTACGTAACGGTAGTCAAAGTTCTGTACTTGAACTCACGCAGCTGTGTAGGGGCTTGTGGATAGTCGTCGTCAGATTTGACGACAACTAGTATTGTCCAGCAGGAATGTTTACTGTCACAGTTTCTGTTCAACTTCGTTGTAGATGTACTGATGGACATAATCTAGGGTACGTCTGCCTTCACAGGGACTGGTTTACTCCCTGGTGGTCATCTAGTAAACTTAGAGTATGCAGAGGATGTTGTGCTGTTGTGTGAAGATGCTGTTAAAATGCAGGGTCTTGTGAATGTGTTGAGTGTAAACCTGAGTATGTTTGGCAGATGTCTTGCTCCCACCTGCCAAATGTAAGGATATTGACTTACTTGGGGAGCAGCAACAGACCGAATGGCTTTGTAACTGACGAAATCTCAACTGGGATACAGAATGCTCGTTTAGCAGTTGTCAAATCGCATGATGTTTGTCACGGGTTGGAGAAATATCCTACTGCCTATCAAAGGATGAATAAATTGCGCTGAAGTCCGTTATGTCCTGTTCTATGGCCGTGAGATATGGCAGTTGGAAGTAGAAGATATGAATCGGTTGGAGGGTTATGATCAAAGGTGTCTTCGCAGCATTCTTTGCGTTTGATATAAGCGTAGTAGGTAAGACAGGTAAGTCGATTGATGAGGTTGTGAACCTTTGTTGATTGGGATGGCTTGGCTTGCACCCACCGAGCCACCGCCTACCTCGACGTTCCACGATACGGAAGACGGTTGAAGATGGTGAGACATGGCACCAGTTGATAAAGTTTCCTACTCTTGACCTGAGCAATGTAGACTGCTTGGTTGGGGTCTTTGAGATGATAGTAATAAATGGTTAGAGACACTTGGTGATATGACTGAGACTATCGCTATGGCACAGATGTATTCAATTTCTGACGTCTTCTAGGGCTTGAAACTTCTCATATAGCCTGATTTTCAAATCCCTGCTTCCATGCACTTTTATCTCCTTTAATATTAGTGATTTTCTACCCAC